ACACACACACACACACACACACACACACACACACACACACACACACAGTCTTTCAACTTCAAATTGTTGCCATTTATTAAACAGCGGAAATAGAGTTGCTGCTGATTACTCGTCAGCTCGTTACAGTCTCTATAAGGGCGGCCACATACAGTCAGAATTCCGTTTCGGAATATCGATTCGAGATTCTACATCACTCACATGCATTTATTTCCGTTTGGAATAACAAGACTCAACTGAGACGCGAGATATTGAATTCATGTTCTCGTTGCGAAAATACGTACGGATTTTACGACTGTGTGTTGCGGCCAGGGTTAGAAAAAAAAACATATTTTCCGGATTATTTTCCAATATTTTTCCACATTTCACGTTGACACATATCAAAAGTTGAAGTTACTGAACGAAAACGATGGAACCAAGAAGAGGTGTGGTGGTGGTGTGGTTGTTGGAAGTTTTTTCGCTGTTGTAAAATCATTTTAAGAGTCGTACTCTACTCAATGCTCAAGTCAACTTGAGTATTATTTAAAGCACTAGAAATCATACTCAAGTCCTTGCCATTAGGGTCGTATTTCCAGTGCTTAAAATCACTCTACTCACTCAACTCAGGACTTGAGCATTGAGTAAAGTTCTGGAATATGACCCTAAGCCTCGTTTTTCTACAAATGGCTTTTATCTACACAAAAAAGTTTATTTTATGAGTCACGTTAAATAAAACTTCAAGAGATGTTTCTAAACGTAGAATACAATATAAGCACTCAAAATTATGATTATGTTTTTCCAATTTTTTGGGAATTTTCCGGAAAATGCTTACGGTGGAAAATACTTAAATAAATACGGCTTTTTTTTTTTATTGTGACTCGGCAAAATGACTGCACCGCTACTTCGAGGGGTCGTGCAGCGACTAAAAAAGGATCGGCGACTCGGTGATATTTAGACTATATTTGAAATAGGAAAAGGTGATTTTAGGCTACTTAATAAAATGAACTGGGGAATTACAAACTTGATTGGGGATTGTGTAAAGAATGGAGTTGCAAAACGACTCATTTGGGGGTTTGAGTAGTTCTACGTGTGGGGAATTGGGAAACAAGAAAGTTCATGTTCTCCAATTTCTGGCACCAAGTAGAATTATAGAATTTTTTCCTTGATTTTTAGGGATTTTAAGGCTTAACACATATAAATTGGCGAATTAAATTCGCCAAAGTCTGGCAACACATGCTGGAAGCCACAGAGTACATATTTTCATGAAATATTATTTACTTTAGTCTTTGTATTATGCTCTACTTTCTGTTATGCTGTATGCCTTCAACTTCAAAGATAATATTTTTTATTCAAAAAGTACTCTTTGGATACAAAATTAGAAATACCTACGTAATAGAATTTATCATGTCAAAACAATACCTACAATCTTCTTAATCTGTGATGTCAGTCAATCTCGTGATTAGAAATTTCAAATAATATTATATACAAAAATCGAGTAAATTAATAATGTTAAAAAGTGTCTCGTGGAGGTTGCTCAACAATCGTGAGGCAAATCATATTTTGCGTCTTAAGAAAATAATAAACGAAAAGAAAATAACTTATCAGTTTTACTATTATAGGCTATTTTAACAGAAACTGATAAAATAAGCATTTACAAACTTTGGGCACTATGCGAAAGAAATGTTGAGTGTATGTTTGCTGTAAATTTTGTTGTATATTTCTTGGCTTATTATTTTCTTTTTTATAAAGTAGCTATTGTATTATGCAGTTAGAGTGCATGTGTACTGTTTCTGGACAAAAATGAGTTTGGTATGCTTTAATAAAATTGTATTTCTATTTCAGGCAATATGTGTATCCTGTTCATGCATTTAGGGATCTCGGATCCAGGGAGTGACTATAGTTTAATCCTGGCTGCCAACCGAGATGAGTGGTATGACCGACCTTCAAAGAACTTAGCCCCTTGGGAGGATGACGAGGATATTATTGGAGGTATGTGTAATTATAATCTAAAAGTAACTGGTCTAGCAAAAGTATTCTCAGATTTATTCTCATAGGTACACCAAAACTCAGGGCAAATATTATTTTATGCACCATGTATGCATACTCTGTATCTGTTGAAGTTATCGTTGAATTACCGTTTTACTGTAATATTCATTTTACGTAAGTGTTTATTATTCCTTTAGTAATTACTATATAAATAATTTCTTTCAGGGAGAGACCTTCAGCCTGGCTGTTATGGTGGAACATGGATGGCAATTTGCCCCAAAAGAAAAAGGATAGGAGCTTTGCTCAATCTGCCTACAACTAAGAATCCTATTGCTAAAAGTAAGTTTTCCGAAAGTATATATTTTTTCAATACTTAATCATTGTAAATAATTAATAGATAAGAAAATTTTGTGTACATTTAGGCCAGTCATCATACCACATATAATTAGAGCGGTCCAAAGTTCATAGATTATAAACTCATGTGTATTGTTAATGAAAACTTTTTGTTCTTTTTCAGCTAGAGGCAAAATAGTACAAGATTATGTGAAATCAACCATATCTACAACAGATTACATTAACAGTATGAGAGATTACTTACAAGAATGCAATGATTTTGTTTTTGTTTCGGTTGAATTGGGGTAAGATTTTCTAATTGAATTTTATAAGTTTGAAAATTTTACTTGTTGTTAATCAAAAAAATATTTAGGGAGAACCCTGTAATACAAACATACTGCAATGAAAATGATAAGCTAAGCACGTGGCCTGGCTGCTATTTCGGCTTCAGCAATAGTCTGCCGGAACAGCCTCTAAAGAAAGCCATAGCTGGCAAAGAGCGTATGCAAGATATCTGCTCAGGATCCAAGAAGATTACTGAAAAAGATAAATTAATAGGTGAACTTCTTGCAATGTTAAAATCTGAACAAAGGTATGTTGAATTTGTTTTATTATCATTAAACATACAATAGATAAACACATGTATTCGCTAGATAAGTACAATAATAGACATTTAATTTGCCAAGGAGGCCCCATATTTGTATATCGCAAGAGAGGGACAAATAATCATTATGTGACTGTGTGATTTGCCTTGACAAACAATATTTTACAGTCAATACAGATATTGTCCAAAGTAGGTATTATAATTATCTTACATTTACATAAATAACTATTAATATATTCAATACTAAATGACACGCTTGATGAGATAAACATTTGTATAAAAATTGATAAAAAAGATGTAAAAAAAATAGTACTTTATGGATAGCCAGAAATGTACATACAATCTATAAACTGATGTAATTTTGTATGACTATATACGGAGTGTGTGTAGGCATGGAGCAGTTTGAAAAACATTACATATTCAATGCTGTCAGCCATCTATGACAAGTACATAATAAATTCACCCTCTAATCATATTTTATTTCTCTACAGACATACTTCAAATTGAAAATCTTATGTAAGGGTTTCATTTGCAGGCATTATCCAGATCCAGAATTAGATGCTCGGAGGCCATACCCACTAGAGTCATTGAGTTCCATATTTGTCAGAATTCCAGAAGCAAGATATGGAACAAGGTATGGAATACTCACTGCTGTTCTTATTAGTGGTATTTCTTTCAAAATATTTTAAAGCAGTCTTTAAAAATTCAAAATGGTCATTTTGTGTATGCATATTACCTTGAGGATAAATGGTATAAATGGGTAAAAGATAAACTGGCACTGGATGAGGAGGTTCTGGAATGAATTCCCAATAGCAATATGAAAATTCAACTTTTCTGGTTGTGAATTCTGTTACTCTGGTACTCATAATACAGGAAATTCCTTTTTTGAGATCAGCTAATTGGTGTGTTGTACGGGACACTACTATTAATAATAATATTTTTGTTTACCAGGACCCATACAATAATTCTAGTCACAAAAACCGGTCATGTGGATGTTATAGAACAAACAATGCAGTCACCAATTGATTTGAATAACCCAATTTGGAAGAAAAGTGAATATGAGTTTCAGCTATGATTGTGGAAGTAGAATTTTAGCATTAAATTATTAATAAGGACCTAAAAAAGTGAAACGAATAAAACAACTTTTGATGAAATAACTATTTTCATTTGATAAAACACAAAAAACTGTCTAAATACTTCATACAGCAGTGTTTACAAATTAAACACTCCAATTCTCAACTCTGAACTGTTCAGGCACTGAGAATCCTACATCTTGCTCCAAGACGCACCCAAAAAACTTAGAAACATTCAATATAGTTCCAGAAATAATATGAGGGAACTGGCTTTCCTTATTTTCCATATATGTTAACAATAATCGTTTGCTAATAAAATCGCCACTTACTGATATATTAGCTACTTCCACATAACTATTCAAAGATGTAGAAAACATTTCAACAACTACTCTTAGTGATTCCCACATGTGCAATTTATTTGCTGGCAAAATACTCAGTCTGTAATGATAATTAAGTTCACAATATATTGACTTTAAAATCTCTATGACTTCATGAAGTAATACGTCCAATTCAGAATTTGTTTTCGTGGCACCAAAGAACTGTATCACTGATGATTGACTCACATGTAATAAGGAATCTTCATCAGACGGGGCTGGAATATATTGTCGTCCCATTGTAAAGTATTTTAATGGGAAAACTTTGGATGGTAAAACATTTTTAGCATGGTACGCTAGAAAAGAGCTTAAAGATGCACCTCCAGTTAAATGTAATCTACTATCAACATTGACGTTAGAATCATCAATATGATGTAGAATAAAAGTAACATCAGGGTTTGTATGGTCTTGTCCACAGCCTTCGACAATGACACTTTTTACAAAGTCTGGATTAGAAAATTGTACAAATTTATTTCTTCGTAATATGTTGCTGAAATGAAACTTTGCTCCAAGTTCAAATATTGCAGCATCACCCCGAAGATAATAATGATCATTCCTTTTAAAATTTAACAGGTTTAATTTGTGGCCAATTTTTAAATGATCTTTTTTACTTTGTGGTGGTGTTTGATAAGTGTAAAGAACTTTATTTTCTATATTAGGTGTTAAAGGATGTAAGGTGTTTGGTAGTTTTAAAACTTCAACTATAGCAGCTTCTTCTGCTGACCACAACGGTTCCTTTAATTTACGTATATTGTCTTTGATAAGATTGATTTGCATCTTGTATTTTGTAGCTATATCGCTTTCTGGCTCAGTGTTAATTATCTTTCCTAATTCCTTTCCCAATTCACTTTTCTTTTTGTCATAATTAAATTTACGTTGCTTTAGTTCTTCATAAACACTCCATAAATGTTCTATTTTATTTAAGTCAATATTAGAATTTCTTTTAATTAAATTTTGCTGTATTAAGTCTCTGTCTTTAATCTGTTGAGGGTAATCAATATGTGGTTTAATATAAGTAAAAGTTTCCGTAGCCTTTGCACCATTTATAAACAGAGCGGAATATCTTACATACTGAGTGCAGTCCACAGCACGTTTAATTACTTTCAACGGGCGTTTGCGTAGCATTGTTGTCGAATTTTTGCTTCTTATTTGGACTAGCTTCTTCTATAACAACGTCCCCGTCTTGATCAATATCTGTTTTGCTTCCTTGTGTTACAATTTTACGTTTGCTGGGTAATTTAAAATTCCCATGCCCAGCGGCTCTCTCTGACTCTTCAATAGTATATGGCTCTAATTCTAAAGCCTTTAGTCGTCTCTTGTGTACCTTGGTTTTGAAATGTTCATTCAAAGCTTGCTGGTCGATAAAGTAACGGGCACAATGCAAACAATAGTTTTGTGCTGCACCCGGCACATCTAGGTCTACTTCTTGGTTCAATAATTTATCGGCATTCTCTAAAAACAAATGGTTTAACATATTAATTTCAAAAGATAACCTCCAAACCATGTGTTAAACCTAAAGTTTGAATTTGTTACCTTCTTTTAAATCGACGTCTATCTGATCAAGATCCTTCTTCCGATTTCTCAGTCTCCACCGCTTTTTCAAATGAGTATCACCATGGTGGTATTTTTTTCGCTTGTATGTCATAATAAACTGAAGAAAATTG